TCGCGCGCGGCGGCTTGAAGATGCGCCTGTTCTGGGGGCGGGGGGTGGGGGGAAGGCTTCTTCGAAGCAGCCCCGCTTCTCAGAAAGGCGCGGGCCTTGTCTGTCGATACAAGCAAGGCTGGCGCCTTCTGAAGCAGCCTCCTTGTGCGCGCCGCCGATCCAAGGAGGAGGGGGAGGTACCGATATCGCTACCCTTTCCTCGTTTTTCATTTTTTTAGGCCTCCCCTGAAGCCCTCGTCGCCACCGTTGGAGTCGCCTCGAAAAGCCCGTCAGAGCGCACCCCAGGAGAGGTCTGGGTAGTAGCGATATCGGCACCTTTTGTTTCCCCCCCTAGGGACAGGGGTCGGTGTGGTTGAAGTCGGTACGGAGAGGTCCGAAGACCAACGAGTGGCCCAAGCATGAGCTTGCGGAGGTCCACGCGGATCTCGTGGGTCTCTCACGGCGGGCGGAGCCCGGCAGGGGCTGCGCCGCAGGCGCCGCCAAAGGAGCCTTCCTGGGGCAAGCCCCCTCGGAGCTTCCAGAAGTCCTGCTGCGAGCCTCTGTGGGCCGTCGGGCCGCTTTCCAGGGTGTTCTCGTCGCCGCGGCCTGGTGATGTCGCGTCCCTGGACAGGTCTGGAGACCCATCGTTGGCCTCTTGGCGCTTTCCCCCTGTGTGCAAAGCATTGCGACTCCTCCTTTCCCTCGCCAGGGCGCCCAACAGCACGCCAACACAACCGAAAACCTCGATCCTCGACCGACGATGACGGTGAAGGATGCGGTACTGGTGCAACCCGAAGCCAGGACGAAAAAGCCGGCCCCCGGGAAGGAAGCATGGCAAACAGCCGGGTTCTCGCAGGTCTGAAGGCTTCACTTCTGGTCATTCCTGTTTCTGGGCCCTCGGATGGGCCTGGCCGGAATCGGCGTCCAGGTGCACACAGCCATGGCAAGAGTTCGTTCAGTGTGCTACGGTGGTGGTATCCCCCACCACCTGGTCAGATACCCCCAACTTTAAGTCGGGCATGCCCCTCTACAGAAGGGATATTCAACAATAGTCAAAACATAGTATGGGGACGTTGTTTGTTTATGGTTGACTATGCTTGGCTATTGTTCAATGCTTTTGATAATGTTTCATGTTTCGTTGAAAAGTCGCCTGTAGGAGGACATGCCCGACCAAACCCTAACTTAGCCTGAGCAGCTGCTTGCGTTACAGTGGAGGCCCATGCCAAGAAACACCCTGCTTGCCTCCAGGGTGCCCTCGGCTTCTCGGGCTTCGATGGTCTTGCCAGGGGGAGAGCGTGACGCTCCCACGGCGCAAATGCACGGACGCCTGGGGCCTCCGAGGTCGGGTTCCCCCTGGACGGTGTCTCGTGGACTGGCCTCCGCCATTCGGTGGCGCGCGGCGCCCGCTGACGCCCCGGCCTGGGGACGAGCGCTGCTCGGCGCCGAGCCAGTACATCCTGCCTGCTTTTCTCTGCCCTCGATCTGTATCTTTTACCTTCCCCATGACCCTTGCTTCTCTTTCTGTTTCTCGTTCTACCATCATCGGCGGGGCCGCCGGCGCCAGCCGCGCCCCGACCACCCCGCGCGGCGCCCCCGCGCGTGGGCGGGCGAGGGCCGAGGGGGCAGGCCGTGCGGCCGGGGCCGTGCGGCCGCGGCCGGCCTCGGAGGCCGGGCTCCTCGGGCCCCTGGCTCCTCCGAGGGGGGGGGGCCTCGTCCAGGGGCGGCGCTGTCTCGCGCGGGGGGCCGCGCGCGGGGCCCAGCGCCATCCTCCCCGAGCGCAGGAGGGCCCCTGGCCCCCCTGATGGCACGAGGGAGGCGTGGCCCCGCCGAGGCCCCCTTCTTTGCACCATAGGGGTACTGGATCTGGACGGTCTGGTTCGATGGCCCCCTCCCAGAAGGAAGGGTAGGGGTCCGTGTTTGGTGACTCGCGCAGGGCCTCCTCAGACATCCTTGCGGCTCGAAACAAATCACGGCGCAGGGTGTTTGACACTGGTCGGCCTGTGGGTGGCCTCACTCACCGGGCCCCGCGACCATCCAAAAACAACTCGGGGCGACGAGCCGGTTTCGACCTCGGTGTTCAACGGCAGGCGTCCAGATGCTTGCCACGAGGTGTGAGTCCAGGTGCTTGCCACAAGGTGTGAAGGCGCCTCATGATAGCCGGACGCGCCGCCAAGATCGTTCAGACAGCTCTCGTGCCGCTGGCGATGCGAGTCGGAGAGCCGGTCCCCGGGAAGACTTTCCCGGCCCCCCGCCTTCTAACGGAGGCCGCCCCCTCACGCCACAACTCTCCGTGCGCCGCCTCTTCCTCTCTCGTCTTTCGCACAACAGTGTAGCGTGTTGGGTTTGGCTTGTACGCTTCTGCGTAGGCAGTGCTCTTGCCGCTGCGCGTGTGGCGTGTCCTCCACTACTCTCTGCATGGCTAATCGTCTTGTCGGGTTGGTCAGACTTCCGCTTCGCATGAGGGTCCCATAAGATTCCTCTCTCTTTTTTTGTTTCTCTCTCTCTCTCTCTCTCTTTTTTCTCTCTCTCTCTCTCTCTCTTCGCCTGTCGTTGTTTTGTTTCTCTCTCTCTCCCTCTCTCTCTTGCTGTAGCTGATTGAATCTAGTTGTGAATTGTTTTCATCTCTCTCTCTCTCTCTTTATCTATGTACGCTATGTACATAACATTCCATATGTATACGCAGCTATTTCTCTTTCTCTTCCTCTCTCCAGCTCTCTCTCTCTCTCAAGTTATCCCCATGCTGGCTCCCCTTCGGCACCGGCGAGGACACCGACCAGATCAAGATCCACGTGGAGGTCGGGGACGCCGAGAAGGAGGTGGGCCAGGCGCAAGTCACCGTGGAGCCCTCCCGCAGGGGGGGGGACGGAGCTGCGAGCCTGGAGGAGGGGGGCTGGAAGAGCTACAGGTCAAGCAGCCTCCTCCTGCACCTCCTGCTCCTCCTCCTCCTCCTCCTCCTCCTCTCCTCCTCCCCCCTCCTCTCCTCCCTCCTCCTCCTCCTCCTCCTCCTCCTCCTCCTCCTCCGCCTCCTTCTCCTCCGCCTCCTCCGCCTCCTCCGCCTCCTTCTCCTCCTCGCAGGGGCGCAGAGCATCATCCATCTCGATCTGATCGGCTCGACTCGCTGTCGGTCCCGGCCAGGCTCGCGCGGATTCGCCCCCGATGTCCCGGCGTCTCGAGGCGACCGGACGCTTGCACGGCGCCGCTGTGCATCCCGACGCGGCGGGTCCGATTCGGTTTCTTTTCCCTGCGGATGCTGCCCGATCCGACGCGCTGTCCGAGCCTGTCCGATGTGCCGATTCGGTGTTGACTGATCCTGGAAAGGGGCGAGGCGAAGACGGCAGCGCGGGCGAAGGACGCGGAGGTAGGGGCCCAGCAGAGAAGGCATGTCGACGTGGGAGGCCGACTGATCTTCGAGCATCCCGTCATGCGGAATACCCTCAGGAAGCCGCGGAGGTGAGAGGAGGAGGGAGAGGAGGAGGAGGAGGAGGAGGAGGAGGAGGAGGAGGAGGAGGAGGGGGAGGAGGAGGAGGAGCACGGACAGCAGCTTCGATGATGATGATGATGATGATGATGATGATGATGATGATGATGATGATGATGATGATGATGATGATGATGATGATGATGATGATGATGATGATGATGATGATGATGATGATGATGATGATGATGATGATGATGATGATGATGATGATGTGATGATGATGATGATGATTATGATGATGATGATGATAATGATGGATGATGTTGATGATCATGATGATGATGATGACGATGATGACGATGATGACGATGACGATGATGATGCTGATGGTGATGATGATGATGATGATGATGAGGATGAGGATGAGGATGATGATGATGATGATGATGATGATGATGATGATGATGATGATGATGATGATGATGATGATGATGATGATGATGATGATGATGATGAAGGAAGCGGATGATGAGGGGGAGGAGAAGGAGGAGGAGGGGGAGGAGGGAGGGATACGAAGAGGAGGAGGAGGAGGAGGCAGGACAGAGGGTAGAGGCGGGAGGAGGAAGAGGACGACGGTGACACGGAGGAAGAGGAGGAGCAGCAGCAGCGTTACGAGAAGGACAAGGAGGAGCAGGGTAAGGAAAGTGAGGAGGAGCATCAGGAGGGATAGAAGGTGGCCGCGGGAGGGCGTGGCGATAACCGTGACTCGCGTATCGCGGTTCACGAAGCGCGAAGACAGGTGGCTTGTTCTTGCAGTTGGTACGAGGGTTAAGAACAGCCCCAGATTTGGATGGGTATCCTTATGTTCTCTGCGCTTGGGCTCTCCACCTTTGAATACTCTCTGTGGCCTAGGACATTTGGCAAAGGGGCCCGTTCTCTCGACCTGCGTCATGGTGCCCGCGTCTCGAAAGTGCGGTGGGCTCGAGCCTCGCCGCACGCGGCGGCGACCTTCGCGCGGACGCTCGAGGTTCAACGAGGCCAACATCCGCCGACGTAGAACGATCTGCGCCTTCGAGACGCCGCGCCCACCCAAGAATCGAACGACCCTCGCGATGCCAGAGGACTGACCCCGACGCCAGCGCGGCGCGAGCCCTCGCGTTGCCAAAAAAAAACGGCGGGAGGTGTTTCACCATGTTGGGCCTCCGGGGGCCCTCACCGCGCCTCGGGACCGCCAACAACACGACTCAGGAGGACGAACCGGTACATGGGCAAGGCGTCCAGACCTTCGGGGGTCGACGTTGACTGGACGTAAGAGTGACCTTTCGCTGGAGTGACCTTCGGTGCGGGCACATGGGGCCCCCAAGTGACTCAACGCGAGGCGGTAGCAGCGTCTTGCGCGCTCGGGTTTGGCTGTCCCGCGGCCCACCAAGAGCCGCGCACCAAAGGTCACTCTTACCCAGTGAAGTCGAACATCGTGGAACAAAACTTCACGACGCCGGAGGTCTGGGAACCGGACTTGCCTGGAGGAGGAGGAGGAGGAGGAGGAGGAGGAGGAGGAGGAGGAGGAGGAGGAGGACATCCTCCGCCCGCCTCGGCTCGGAGCGCACTCCCGCGCAGGCCCGATATGGAGACGCCCCGCGCGGAGCGCTGCCCGCAGCGGCCCCGGGGAACCGGGCCCCTCCCGGCCCCCGCACCTGCGGGGCCGCGGAGCCCCCGGGGCGATGGAGAGCCCAGCTGATGGGCCTGTTTTCCACCACCACCACCACCACTATCAGCTGGAGGGGGCAAGGAGGAGGAGGAGGAGGAGGAGGACGAGGAGGAGGAGGAGGAGGAGGAGAAGGAGGAGGAGGAGGAGGAGGAGGAGGAGGAGGAGGAGGAGAGGAGGAGCCCCTCCCCCCTTCTGCTTCAATAGTGGTGGCGGTCGAAAGCAGGCCCACCACCAGCGCTGCCGACGGCCCTCCCCGCCGCGTCCCGGCCTGCCCGCCGGCCCTCGCCGAGGGCCGCCCGGGAGCCGCCGGGCCGCCGAGCGCCGCCCCGGGTCCGCCCGAGGAGGGGCGCCCAGCGGCCGCCGGAGGCCGCCCTCCTCGGGCCGGCCCGGCGCCGCCCGAGGGCGGCTGCAGGCGCGGCGAGGGCGCTGAGCGCGAGGACCAGGAAGGAAAAGACGGCGCACACGCCGGTCGTCGGAAAAGCACTCCAGATTTCGTAATAAAGGGAGGGGGGTCTCATTTCGGGGGGGGTCTCTTCCAGGCTGTCTTGGAGGGCCTGGGGGGGTCTGGGGACGGTGTTTTGGAGGGTTCTCCCACGGGGGAGGTCTGAAATGGCTTGTCTTGGAGGGTCCAGACCCCCTCCCTTTTATTACGAAATCTGGAGTAGGTATGTTGTGGCTTCCAGATCCCAGTCTACTTCAGGCGCCCTCCTACTTCAAGAAGCGGCGTGCTTCTGCTGCGTCGTGTTCTTCTCTGGGAGGGCCTGGGCCCAATCTGCTTCATCCGCCTTCCTACTGCACGTGTTCACCGAATTCTTCCGACGGGCGGGTCAACATAATTTTTTGGCGCTCTGCGCAGGTTTCTTGGCTCCGCGCTGGGGCGCCTCCGGCGCCGCCCCTGGCGCGCTCCGCGCATCCAAAGAAACCTGCGCGGAGCGCAAACAGTTAATGTATATGCCGTTTCTTCTTCGTCTAGCGAGGAGGACCTGGACACGGTGTCTTCCCTGGCCTCGATGGAGCAGCCCCGCGCCCCGAGCATTTCGGGGGGCGCCAGCTACAGCGGGCACATCAAGTAAGACACCGGCCTGCCCCGTGCAACAGAGAGAGGGACAATATTTCTAATGGAACGCAGGCCCACCACAGAAAAATTGATGAAGTCTCGATGGCCTCAGGGACCCACAGGGGCTCGCGGGCACCCCTTTAAACCAACGCGAATAAGGTGCCCGAAGATTTCAGATTCCCGAAAAAAGGGTTTGTACTTAAGAGATCTTCTTTTTCTGTGGGAGGAGGAGGAGGAGGAGGAGGAGGAGGAGAAGGATGAGGAGGTGGAGGAGGAGGAGGAGGAGGAGGAGGAGGAGGAGGGGGAGGAGGAGGTGGAGGAGGAGGAGGAGGAGGGGGAGGGGGAGGGGGAGGGGAGAGGGGGGAGGGGGAGGGGGAGGGGGGGGGGGAGGGGGGAGGAGGAGGAGGAGGAGGAGGGAGAGGAGGAGGAGGAGGAGGAGGAGGAGGAGGAGGAGGAGGAATAAGAATAATGCCGAGAAGAATAACAAGAAGAGGAGGAGGAGGAGGAGGAGGAGGAGGAGGAGCTGAATGGGCATTCGTGGGTTTTCGCCACGTGGACGCTCCTGTCCCTTCGCGGGCGCCTCCCCCGGGCGCCCCGTGCCCCTGAGCCCTCATGGCGTAGCCTGCACCGTACAGCTTGCGCCACACAGCCTGCACCGCACCTGTTACACAGCACGGCCTGTATCGCAGAGCTTTGCACCCAATGGCTTCCGGAGCATTAAAAAGCGCCGTGAGCATAAACTTCTGGCGCGCCGCGCGGATTTCTTGGATCCGCGCTGGGCTCCCCCCCTGGCGGCGCCTCTGGCGCCGCCCCCGGCGCGCTCCGCGCGCCAGAGAGGGGGGTTTCAGCGCAGATTTAAGAAACCCGCGCGGAGCGCCAACAGTTTAGGTTCATGGCGTACTTTGTTCTTCCAAGCTTCCACCACCAGTGCACACCGCCCAGCGCACACGAAATAGCTTGAGCCCCACGTTTCTCACGCCGCCTCGTGCTCACTCCCATACATGGCTACACCGCACAGCCTCCACCACGCAGCTTTCAGCACGCAGCTCGCACAGCCAGGCTGCCACCTGGACCGTGTAGCACGGCGCGGTCCTGGGCCCACGCTGGCCAACACTTCGCGTGGCACCGTGGTAAGACGTCCGATCACACGTGTCCGCATAATCCACCCCACCGGTCCTGACCATGCCTATGTCGGACATGTCCTCCTACAGGCGGCTTTTGGGAGAACCATAAACATAGTCGAAACATGTTCAAAAGAAGTGGCAACGATTGGCCATTTTTGCACATCCCTCCTGTAGAGGGACATGCGCGACTTCAGCCCAGGCCCCTCCCGGGCCCAGCATCGGCCTACCGAGATCGGCCTCGGTGCGCCTCGCGCGGACGCCCCCCGAGCCTCGCGAGCATCCCCCGCCCGAGGTTCTGCAGCTCCTATCGCCCCCTGAGCGCCGGAAGCATCGGCCACCCGACGTTCTGCCAGACGCTTTGCCTCTTCGTCCGGGGCGGCGGCCACTGCCCGCGCGGCCCCGGGTGCGCGTGGTGCCACCACCCCTCCTGCAAGAAGAAGAGGTACCTGGACAAGAAGACCCGGATGCTGTTCCGGCAGATGGACGACCTCACCAGGATCACCACGGTCCTGCCCTGCCTGCAGGCGAAGATCCACGAGCTTGACAGTGGCACTGCGGCGACACGCGCTCTGGAGAAGTGGCGCGACGACATCATGAGAATGCCGCAGTTCGCGGGACATTCCCTGGACGCGCCTGGGCTGGAACCATACTGTGTAGAAGCACTGCGCAGGTTGAGTCTGACCGATTTGTGTGGTTACCCCATCCTGCCAGAGAGTGTTGTGGCGTGCACGAAGCGTTTGCTAATGGAGTTGATGGCTTCGGAGCATACAAATTCATGATCATGGCGCACACGAACCTGGCCTCGCGCCTGGATCACGACTAGATGAAACCAGGTTCGCCCGCTCACGCCTATGCATCCGTGTCTCTGTATTATGCCTCATTCACTTGCCTGTGGCTTGTGCCGCACGTGCTTGTACATATCTAATTCGGAATATTGCCGGCGGACCTCTTGGAGATCTCTTGGGGACTTTAGGGGGACTGGCTGTGTGCCTTGAGTCTTGGGGAGCATCCTTTGCAGGAGAGGCTCCAAGGATCCCCATCGCTTTCCCGCTCTTGGGCCCCTACTGGCCTACATCGCGGTTGCAGATCAGAGATGCCTCCTTTGAGAGGTGGTCTCAATGAGGGCCGCGTGTGGTGCCGAGGAGGGCCGCGTTGCCGTGGCCTCGAGACTTTTTTCCTCCGAGGCAAGATGCCGTCGAGACAGGCAGTCCGAGGGCATAGCCCCTTGTGGCACGACGCCCCTGGGACCCGGGCGCGCGCCTGGCGATCGGGCGGGCGATCGGCAGCAGCAAGTGCCGACGATGGTCAGGAGGGAAAGAAACACACAGACACAATGAATCCTCGATTCCCCAGAAAACAGGGGAAAATATGGGAAGTGGGGGGGGAAGACAAAACCCAGAAAATATAGGAAAAGATGGGGAATCTTTTTATTTGTGTATTTATTTGTGTGTCCTGGGGCCCCTTCAGATGGTCGCAGCACAGTTCTCGGGCACGGCCCGCGCGAGGCAGCGTCCGAGGCCCCCGGATTCTGCCGAGGAGCTGGCCAGCAGAGGTGCCGAGGGCGCCTCCCGGGCGAGTCCCTGGTGCCCTCTCGCCCTGCGTCCATGGGGGCGCCCGTGCGGGGAAGTGTGCGGGCCGCCGTGCTATAGAGTGGACCACGGCCCAGGGCGCTGAGATAAGGAGCACTTTGGGCTCGAGAGGGGCTCCATGTTTTCGATGCTCGTTATGGGGACCTTCCTGGGGCCCACCTAATGGATCTCTTCGACTCATGTTCGACTCAAGTTCGACTCAGGTTCGACTCAGGTTCGACTCAGATTTGTCTCAGGTTCGACTCATGTTCGACTCAGGTTCGACTCAGGTTCGACGCAGCTTCGACGCCCGAGTGGAGCGAGTGGCTCCAGGAAGGTCCCCAGAATGAGCATCGAACATGTTCCTCGGGTCCTTCCATGGCTGCTTCTCTAGCCCTCCTCGTGCAAGCAGGCGCTGCTGGCGCCAAGACGGGGCCTTCCGTTGCTCCCATCGTATTTGAGGGCCGCATCCCACAAATAACTCCGAGCACCCAACCCAGACAAGCATCGAAGCAGTGTCTGCCCGATACGCTAGCGAAATGTCGAGCGAGTACGTCCTCTTTAGGGCCTGGCACGTGAAAACTCCCAGTTTCGGTACTTTCTTGGTGCTCGTTTTTCCATACCTAGGCGCTGCCTAGAAGGGTTCTTATCGTCTAAGCTTAAAGGGGCCGGGCAGTGGTCCTCGCCCCGGGCGGTTCCACCAGCATCCGCCCCGTGGTACCCCCAGTTACGTTCCCTTAGCTTAGCGTTGTTTATCTCATCTTAGCTTAGTTTATTTCATCTTAGCTTAGCTTAGCTTAGCTTCATCTTAGCTCAGGTTTATCTTAGCTTAGCTTACCTTCATCTTAGCTTCGCCGATAGCATAACATAGCGCATCATATCATAGCATAGCTTAGCATAGCACAGCGCAGTATGACATAGCATAGCTTTCCATATCATAGCATATCATAACATAGCATATCATATCATATCATAGAGCAGCATATCATATCATAACATATCATATCATAGCATTGCATATCATAGCTTAGCGCAGCATAGCATGGCATAGCATAGCATAGCATAGCATAGCATAGCATAGCATAGCATAGCAAATAATGCTGCTTTCCTGGGGGCTTCAACTTCTAGGTAGGGTCGCACTGGGGTAATTTTCTGGTGATCAAGGCTATAATCGGTTGGAACATCAAAAGTTGAGCGTTCCTTAAATCAACAGCCCGACTGTACGTGCTACCCCAGCCCTTGGGAGAACCGTTGGGGCAACACCTCCGGTCCACCAGTGTGGGGGCCGATCCGGGGGGCACCTGTCTGGGCTTGGAGGATCTTCTTCTGGGGCGTCCTGGGGCCACCATTAGGCCGTCCTGTGGCTTGTTTCTGGGCCGTACCAGGGCGTTTTGAATGATGCATATACGTTCGGGAGGGAAGAAATACAGAGACACAATGAATCGACGATCCCCATGAAAATATGGGGAGATAGGGGAGGTGGACGGGGAGACGAACCTCCGGAAAGTATGGAAATGTGGCCGGCGCGACCACCGAAAGGGAAAAGTCTATAGCCTGAGCGCATCGCAGGACGCATCGCTTGGCATTACTCGCCATTGCTTTGCATTGCTTGGCATTGCTTGGCATTGCTTGGTATTACTTTGCATGGGTTGGCACTGCTTGGCATTGCTCGGCGTTGCTTGGTATTTCTCAGCGTTGCTTAGCATTGTTTGGCATTGCTTGGCATTGATTTGCACGGGTTGGCATTGTTTGGCTTTGCTTGTCATTGCTCGGCGTTGCTTGGCATTGCTTGGCATTGCTTGGCGTTGCTTGGAATTGCTTGGGGCAACAGGGGGCGGTGAACCCGCGGCAACTACGAGAGGGTGCTGATGACACTCCCCTCCCCTCCCCTTCCCTTTCTCCTCCGCCCTCCATCCTCCTCCTCCTTTTCCTCCTCCTCCTCCTACTTCTCCTCCTCCTCCTCCTCCTCCTCCCACCATCCTCCTTCTCCTTCTCCTCCTCCTCCTCCTCCTCCTCCTCCTCCTCCTCCTCCTCCACTGGGGGAAGGCTTGCCTTGCTGGCCGCCGCCGCGCCAGGCTCCGCGCCCGTCGAGGCTCAGCAGGTTGCTCTGGCGACTGGCCAGCTCCCGGCCCCGGCCACAAGAATTTGAGACAGCGTCGTGCCCCTCGGTCTCCATACCGGCCCCTTCCTGGGCCTCTCCCCTCGGGAGTCTCGAGACGGGGGTCAGTGCAAACGGGGGTCAGCCAGAGCGCCAGATCCTGCAGGATCCTGCGAAGACCCCCTCTGGCTGACCCGGGTTAGCGAGCCGCTCGTGGCCGCGAGGCGGCCGCGCCTATTGGCTGACCCGGGTTCGCGAAGACCTGCGTTGCAGCTTTTTTTTTTTTTTCCTGCATTGCAGTTTTTGGTTTCCTGCTGACCCGGGTCTGGATTGACCCAGGTCAGAAGATCGCCGATCCCCCTTTTGGTGAACCGCCTGTTTCGGCCCAAGGCTGTTCGTGCAGAGCGCAGGGGTTCTCGCCGCCGCTGTAGAACTTTTGGATTCGGCAGAGGAGCTTCCAGCCTAAACTCCCAGCCTGTCACCGAATCATGCCAGAGTCACGTTCGTTCTTGGCATGCGCCATGCGGCACCGGCTAGTCCTACCCTCGCTTCCGGATACCATGAGATTTCGAGACCCTAGCACATAGGAGAAGGAGGAGCAGGAGGAGGGGGAGGAGGAGGAGGAGGAGGAGGAGGAGGAGCAGGAGGGTGACACGACAATAAATGATGCTCTAGTCGTTGTCTCAGTTCTCTGCCTGGATCTGTAGGTTCCCGCTTGCCAGACTTGTACGGAGTCGTCCTCGTCTGGGAGATTTGAGCCAAGGCGCAGTTCCTTCTCGCTGCACGGCCTTATTATAATTTGTGCGTCCGTCCATGCTCTCGCGCGATTGCCCTTCTGTCTCTTGGACAACAACAGACGCCACGACGTCTAGGACGCAGGCAGTTGGGCAAGAGAGGCCTTGTAAGACCCAACTCAGCGCTGTACTTCACATGACGCAGAAGCTCAGCATCCTTTGACCGACCCCTATCTCCATCCCCCTTCCTATCCAGACCACCACCATCTCAGAACCCCACTCGGGGAGCCGGAACAGTCTATATCTGCCCATCCAGGGTGGTCCACCGGCCAGTGGGTCCCAGGCCACGCCATTGGGGATAGGGGTCGGATAGCAAATTACGCTTGGAAGCTGGACCTACAGTGGGGGCGCGCATCAAGAAACCAGCTGCTTTTCGTCAGAGTACCCTGGGTGTCTTCGCTTCGCGCGCTGCGCGGTGACCTCCCGCAGGCGTTGAAGAAGCTGCTGCGTTCAGGGTGCTCTATAGGCTCCCCTCCGTGTGCATCTCGCGCGCGGGGGGTTCAGGGCTGGTTTCTTGCGAGGCTTTCTTGCGGCCGCGTCCGCACTGCAGGCGGCCTTACGCGCCAGCTCCCTCACGGCCCGCCCCCACAGGCCCGGGCGCGCACCGGCCCGACGGCAGAGGGGTGGAGACGCGGCAGCCTCTCGGGGAGTGGCTCGGAGGCGCTGCGCTCTTGACGCGGCCGGGGGGCCCGCTCCGCCCAGGCCTCCCAGGTGGGGTCCGAGCAGACTCGGCGTCACCCCAACCAACTTGTTCCCCAATCAGTGCTTGCACTGACTGGGTCCTAGCGGAAGCTGAAAAAAGAGTCGGCGAAAGGTCCCGCCGATTTGGGTAGCAGGCTGGGTTCTCGGGTTCCCCGTTCCGGGTTCCTGGGTTCCCGGTTATTGGCTCCGGGCCGATTTCGGTGGGTTCTGGGTTCCCGGGCTCCCGGGTTCCCGGTCGTTCTCTTCAGCGAAAACCATCCACTGATTGGGGTTTTTCTCTGGCGCAATATTATATTCGGGAGGGGAAAAACACTGACACAATTGTTGACGCTTCGCGAATCCCCACCAGCCCCGCGTACGGCGGTGGTACGGACTTCGCGCTGAGTGGTTCAGCCTTCAGCGTGTCGCTTCGGTCTACCTGCCCGGTTTCGGCTAGGTGGGCTGCTCGGAGCGTGGCGCCGACAGGGCGACTTCTCCGTTGCACTGCACTGCGGTCTGCTTCACTTCGGTGTGGCTGGCGCCTAGGTGCGTTCGCCTTAATGCGGAGCATTTTTGCTCAGTGCATGTGCACACCTCGCATTCTTTGCGAATTATTACTGCAGGTGCGTTGCCTGTTGTAGCTAATTAGCCTCGCCTGCTGGCCCAGACGACGCCTTCCGCTCCCTGACCGCGGCCTCGGAACCGCCGACCAAAAAAGTAATCCCCACCAACCCATCCAGAAACGATGTCCAGAGGCACTGCCTCGATCAGGGAAGTGGGCAGCACACAGAGGAAACCATTATGAGACATCTTGGGATGTCTTGAGCCATCTTGGAGGTCATCTTGGGCTCGCCCAGGCGCTTTTGGAGTCATCGTAATCAGTGCCCCCCAAGAGGCCAATATGTGGCTAAAGCCTTGGTGAAATCAATAATTTGGCATTCTCGCCGAGGCCTCTTGGAGCATCTTGGGTGCATTTGGGGGGTTCTCTTGGGGCCTCTTGAGGGTCTCTTGGGAGCCTCTTGGGGGCATCCTGGGGGCCTTTTGGGGCTTCCTAGCCACCTGTTGGGGCCCTCTTGGGGCACCCTTGGGAGCCTTAGAGGCCATCTTTGGGCCATCTTGGGTGGGATCGACCACAGGAGGGGGGGGGCCCAATTAGCGTCCCCCTTCAGGAGGCCAACATGGGGCCAAAACCATAGTAAGAACAATGATTTCGGCTCCCTTGCCGAGGCCGTTTCGGACGTTCCGACACCTCGCGACACCCCTTGTCCAGGTCCAAGGGGGGGGTATGGGGGAGGGGTCGAGTTACCCCCTCCCCGCCCGCAAGCCGTTTCACTCACTCCCACCCGCCCTCCCGACACATACGTAGCACCCGAGTCTGGCCCGAGCCTGAGCATATTCAGCAGTCTTGGGATGGACAGCTACTGCGGCCAATCCTTCCGCCGCCGCCGCCGCCGCCGCCGCCGCCGCCCGCTGCCAAACCGCCGCCGCCGCCGCAGCCACTGCCGCCACCGCTATCGCCGCCGCCGCCGCCGCAGCCGCCGCAGCCGCCGCCGCCGCCGCGCGCCCCCGCTGCCCAACCGCCGCCGCAGCGCTGCCGCCAACGCCGCCGGCCGCCGCCGCCGCAGCCGCCGCCGCCGCCGCCCCCCGCTGCCTAAACGCCGCCGAAGCCGCGCCGCTGCCGACAACGCTAACGCCGCCGCCGCAGCCGCAAGCCGCCGCCGCCGCCCGCCACCCCGCCCCCGCCCCCGCCTCCGCCGCCGCCGTCGCCGCCGCAGCCGCCGCAGCCGCCGCAGCCGCCGTCGCCGCCGCCCCCCGCTGCGAAACCGCCGCCGCCGCCGCTGCCGCTGCCGCTGCCGCCACCGCCGCCGCCGCCGCCAAGTGTACCTTGTATTGTTTGTTGGCAGAGATGGCGGGGGGGGCCGCATCGGGTTGGTTGCGCATGTTCCGAATTTGGAAGCAGAGTGTGTTTTGTATGGTTTTTTTACCAGGGATGGTGGGGGGGGTGTCGGCACGGACCCTGGTTGGCCCCCAGTCGCCTGGGGGAGGGGGTGTTTATGAATAGGGAACAGTGATTAAACCCTTCCCCGAAGGGGAAAGAAAGGGGTGGAAGAGGAAACTCTTTAAACCACCGACGCCCAGAGGGCTGGTGGATTAATCGTCGGTTCTCCAGAAAATATGGGAAGTGGGGGGGGGAGACGAAAACCGAAAAAAACTAAATTATCCCGGCAAAGCAACCTAACAGCGATGTGTAGGAGCATATCTGGAAGCATTCCCCTTAAGATTCAGATGAGAATCCAGTTGTAGAATTGTGCTGTTCTCGCAGTCGTAGTCGCATTCGCGATGACAGTCGCAGTGGCAACGGCAGTCACAGACACAGCCTCAGCCTCAGCCTGCCTCAGCCTCAGCCTCAGCCTGCTCAGCCTCAGCCTCAGCCTGCCTCAGCCTCAGCCTCAGCCTGCTTCAGCCTCAGCCTCACTCTGCCTTCAGCCTCGGCCTCAGCCTCAGCCTGCCTCAGCCTCAGCCTGCATCAGCCTCAGCCTCAGCCTCTGCCTGCCTCAGCATCAGCCTGCCTCAGCCTCAGCTGCCTTCAGCATTCAAAATGTGCGCCCGGTATTGCGTTCTGGGCACTCTGAAGAAACGGAAGTGGCACTACAAGTGGCTCCGGCATCCAAAATCATGCCCAGGAATGGAGTCGGAACTCGAAGACACGGACAGTGGCTTTGACAGTGGCTCCGGGCATCCAAAAATCTGGGCGGGGGGAAAAAAATGAAGTGAGTCTTGGGACCTCGAAGACCACGAAGTGGCCTACAGCTGGCTCCGGGCATCCAAAATCTGGCCCGGGAATGGAGTTCTAGGAACTCGAAGAGCACGAAGTGGCCTACAGTTGGCTCTGGGCATTCAAAATGTGGCCCGGGAATGGAGTTCTGGGGATTCGAAGACCACGAAGTGGCGTACAGTTGGCTCCGGGCATTCAGAATGTGGCCCGGGAATGGAGATCTGGGAAGTCGAAGAGCACGAAGTGGCATACAGTTGGCTCCGGGCATTCAGAATGTGGCCCGGGAGTGGAGTTCTGGGAGGTCGAAGAGCACGAAGTGTGTGACTGTTGGCTTAAAACGACTTCTGCGGCACCCTGTTCGGCACCCGCCCAGACCCCCCTGTGGAGTCATTTGCTGCTCTCTTTTGACACCACTAGAAACCGATCAGAACAAGCTGTTAGGTAAAAGTGCTCTTGGCGAGAGGCGCAACCTATGAAGTTGTGGGTATCGCAGGTCGTCTTCGGTGAAGCTCCCTGTGGGGCCACGAAGCGCTGCGCTGGGCGGGGGGGAGATCGTGCGGGCGGTAGCACTGGGGCCGTCGGTGAAGCTCCCTATGAGGCCACGAAGCGCTGCACTGGGTGTGTGAAAATACCAAATTAGGCGTGTGGGACGCACGCGTGCGGTCCCATTTGGGGTTTCGGTGGAGCTCCCCATGGGGCCGCGAAGCGTTGTAACGGGCGGGTGGAAATGCCAAGCTGGGTGTAAGGGGCGCGTGCGGGCGGCCCCACTGGGGGCTTCGGTGGGGCTCCCCATGAGGCCACGGAGCGCTGTCCTGGGCCGGTGACAGTGCCAAATTTGGTGTGGGGGACGCATGCGGGCGGTCCCACTGGAGGCTTCGGTGGAGCTCCCTATGGGGCAACGGAGCGCTGTACTGGGCGGGTGACAATGCCAAATCGGGTGCGGGGGATGCACGCGGACGGTCCCACTGGTGGCTTCGGTGGAGCTCCCTATGGGGCCACGAAGCGCTGTACTGGGTGGGTGACAATGCCAAGCTGAGTGTGGTGGACGAATGCGGGCGGTCCCACTGGAGGCTTCGGTGGAGCTCAACGAAGCATTGTACTGGATGTGCGAAACTGCCAAATTGGGCGTGGGGGGCGCGTGCGGGCGATCCCACGGGCTTCGGTGGAGCTCCGTATGGGGCCACGAAGCGCTGTACTGGGTGGGCGAAAAAATGCCAAATTGGGCGTGGGGGACGCACGCGGGCGGTCCCAGTGGGGGCTTCGGTTGTATTCCCTATGGGGCCACGAAGCACTGTACTGGGTATGCGAAAGCGCCGAATTGGGTGTGATGGACGCGCGCGAGCGGTCTCACTGGGGCTTCGGTGGGGCTCCCTCTGGGGCCACGAAGCGCTGTGCTGTGTGGGTGAACATGCCAAATTGGGTGTGGGGGACGCATGCGGGCGGTCCCACTGGTGGCTTCGGTGGGGTTCCCATATGGGGCAACGAAGCGCTGTACTAGGTGGGTGGAAATGGCAAATTGGGTGTGGGGGACGCACGTGGGCTGTCCCACGGGTGGTTTCGGTGGAGCTCCCGATTGAGTCACGAAACACTGAACTGGGTGGGTGCAACTGCCAAATTTGGCGTGGGTGACGCGCGCGGGCGGTCCCACTGGGGGTTTCGGTGGAGTTCCCTATGGGGCCACGGGGCGTTGTACTGGGTGGGCGGAAATGCCAAATTGGGAGTGGGGGGCGCGTGCGGGCGGTCCCACTGGGGCTTCGGTGGGGCCCCCTTATGGGGCCACGAAGCGCTGTACTGGGTGGGCGAAAATGCAAAATTGGGTATGGGGGGGCGCGTGCGGGCGGTTCCACTGGGGTTTCGGTGGGGCCCCCTATGGGGCCACGAAGCGCTGTACTGGGTGGGCGAAAATGCCAAATTTGGCGTGGGGGGCGGATGCGGGCGGTCCCACTGGGGGGTTCGGTGGAGCTCCCTATGGGGCCACGAAGCGTGTGAGGGATGTACCGAAATGAGTGTGGGGGACGCATGCGGGCGGTGGAGAGGAGGAGGGGGACGAGGAGGAGAAGAGGAACGCGGGGACCGTCTCTTCAAAACGATGACCCAACACCACAGGATGGTTGGGAAATATGGGGATCATGTTATGTGTGTCTATTTGTTTGTGTGTCCCAGGGCCCCTTCATATACGTGCGTCGCCCCCCCTCCCCCTCGGGGCGACGCGCGCACCGAGAAATCTGAATAGTGTATGCGTCGTGGCGGGCGCTCTCTAGCCACACCGCTCGGGAAACGACCTGCTACAATTGGGGTATACTAGCTGGTCGGGTCGGACGCGCGCTTCCAAGACGGACATCTAGTACTAGTATGCCCCTTGTGCGTCCCATGGATGGGATCGGAGGATCGCGCCGCATCGCCGATGCATCGCCGATGTGCAGCGGGATGTGGAGCCCGTTTTTCGCTTCGCCCATGGCGCCGATGCACCGCCGATGCGCGCGATCTTTCGACCCAAGGGGTTCGTTCCTGATCTACGAGGTCTCTAGCTCCGAGCTGGGGGGGTCCACCTGTCCCGCGCTCGCACCCTCATTGCGTCGCTCGGGGTCTAGAGGCGAGAGCTCGGCCAGTGTCGTTTGCCGCGCCAGTGGCGCTGTCTGTGTAGGCAGCCTCACATCGCGGAGGGGGAGGAGAAGAACGAGGAAAGGGGTAGAGGCGGACGGTAGACGTAGGAGGGCGGAGGAAGCGAGCATGGAAGTGTGTCTTTTTGCCCTTTTGTAGGCTTCTCCTGGATGCTTAGTGCGCACTCGCTTCAGGAAACAAGCCGCCTTCGCTGCTGCCATCGGTTGCTGTCTTCCTCCAGGCAGGATGCCCCATCTGGAATCTTAAACAGGTTGTGCAACGACTGGGTGCTCCGCGCACACCTGTCAAGGGTGCGTGCTGGGAGCCTCAAACTCCATCTCGCAATTGCGCTCTAGGTTCTTCAGGAGCTCTATGATCTCTAGGTTCCCCATTCGAAGGGGAGGCTCTAGGAGCTACAAGGTCTGGGCAGTAGCTGTT